CGTGGATGGACACCAGCGAGGCGAGCGCCACGTGCTGGTCGCGGGGCGGCAGCAGGGAGTAGGTGACTTGGGCGTTGGTGCCCGCGTCTCTGTCGGTGGCGCTGACTGTGCCCAGGTGCAGGCCGGGGCTGTTGTTCTCCCGGATGAACAGGGTGTAGGAGGTTTGGGTGAAGGTGGGCGCGTTGTCATTGACGTCGGAGACCAGCACCCTGATGGTGTGCTCAGTTTTGAGCCTGGGGGACCCCAAGTCGGTGACGGTGATGGTGATGTTGTACTGGGCTCTCTCCTCTCTGTCCAGTGGCCTCTCTGTTACTAGGGTGTAGAAATTATCTGCGGTTGGCTTCAGACGGAAAGGGAGATGATCCTGGATGGAACAGAGCATTTTCCCATTGTTCCCTGAATCTGGATCTGAAATTCTGAAAATAGCAACCACAGTCTCAGGGAAATTTTCTTGGACATCATTGAGGAGCAATGACATGGTGAGCTCCGGGGCGTTGTCATTCACATCAACCACTTCTATTGCCACAGTGCATTTCCCAGAGAGACCTCCACCATCTGAGGCCTCGATTTCCATCCGGTAAGATTTGGTTTCCTCAAAATCTACACGTTTCTTCAAACGAATTTCTCCCACACGTTCATTTATTTCAAAAACCTGAAGGACTTGATTTGAAGGATGGAAAAAGGCGTAGGAGAGCTCCCCATGGGTTCCAGCATCTGGATCTCTAGCGGAAACCTTGATGACAAGGGAACCTACAGAGCTGTTTTCTGGAACCCGAGCTTCATAAAACAGCCGAGCAAATTCAGGGGCATTGTCATTGATATCCAAGACCAGGATGACAACCTGGGACATCCCAGTCCTGGGTGGTGACCCACCGTCCAAGGCTGTGAGGATTAACCTGAACTCAGGCTGCTCCTCGCGGTCCAGGGCTTTGTCCAGCACCAGCTCTGGATATTTCCTGCCGTCGCTGTGATTGCGCGTGAAAAGGTGGAAGTGACTGTTGGTGCTAATTGTATAGTTCTGCACCGTGTTGCTGCCTACATCCAAATCCTGCGCTATTTTCAAGGGAAACGCAGTCCCTGGGTGGCTATTTTCTGAAATTTTCAGGAGGATTTCCGCTTCCAAGAATGCTGGTGCATGGTCATTGATGTCTTGCAACTGTAGTTCACCTTGAAAAAACTGCACCGGGTTTTTCAAGAACACCTGGAAATGCAGTACACATGGGTCCGTGTCACCGCACAACTCCTCCCGGTCCAGTTTTTCTTTAAGGAGTAAACTCCCACTCTTCTGCTGGAGCTGCAAATACTGTTTGTTCCCTTCCGAGATAACTTGGGGGCCCCGCGCGGCCAACTCCCCTATGTCTAGTCCCAGATCCTTCGCTAGATTGGCGACGAAAGACCCGCTTTCTCTCTCTTCTAGAATAGAATACTTAATGATTGCACTGCCCCCCTCCCACCACAGTAATAGAATAAGAATGACGGTCACTTGCCTTTTCAGTAGGGCTTTGTGGAGCGGCGGGGTTTCCATCCTTCCTTTGTGTCCAGAAGATGAAGTATTTAATCACAAAATATTATTTTACAGTAAATCCAGCTATCTTGGTCCAATAATCTTGAGGGTTTTTTAAAAAAAAAAAAAACACAGCAACATTGACTTATATGAGGATAGCTAGCCTCGCTCTAAAAAAGACCCTTTGATCCCCAGTCATGTAAAAGATCTCCTTCCTCTGTGAACGCCCAGAAACTGCTTAGATTTTCATGGCGTCAAATCATGGAGTCTTGCGGAGCTGGTTTTCACTCTTAGCCTGCAGCGCCACCACGCGTTCTGCTTTTCAACTTCGTGTATTTTTCGATACAAAGCTGATTGTAATAGTACCCAGCACCTACTTGGTTATAGTGAGTTATATATTCTCTTTCGCCTTCTGTACAGTCCCATTCAGGCAGATAACAATAATTGTGAAAGCAAAGGTCTTCCTTAATAAAGCACCAGTTACGTACGCAACACTCTTTGCTTAACACAACACACATTTATTCATTTAGCAAATATTCATCTGTACAGGCTTCCACATTTCTGGGAATAAAACAATAAAAGATACGCACAAATTCCTGCTCTCACTGAGTGTACAGTCTGCCACCAAGCAACATTTTTTAGAAGAGTATTGTGAATGTTTAGAATCCAGTTCCTACTCTCAAACAAGTTTAAATGTATTAAAAAATCTTTAGATAAATGAAAATGTGATTTCTTGTCAAAGTCTGATTTACAGAATCTTTCAGAATTTTTCCTTACATAAATTCATTGTGTTCAATGCCTAGTAAATTTGAGAGGAAAGTTTACCATTTGTTTTATTAGCAATCAGTATAAGCTTACAATTCAGGCAATGTGTTTATTAGAAATATGAAGAAAACAATAAACTTTACTGGAGAAGGGTTCTGGCCTGTTGGCATTGAAAAGGGTCTTCCCTGGTATCTGTCATCTAGGAATATTGAAATGAAGTTATTTAATATTGCGCGAACTAACTAAACCCATGGGGTTGGAGTGAGGCTAGTGGAAGAAGCAATTAGATGAATATCATTCCAAGTAAGAGAGGGTACGTATCTGGGAGTATAAAACAGTTTCTCCTACCTTCATTTAATCAATTGGTAGTCATCTATGAGAACTCAATTATTTGAACAAAATGCATCCAAATTTAATCTAGGTGAGTCCTAGATCCATTTTAAGTGGGTACACACACACACTCACACAAAATACTCATGTAATTACTTTAGTATAAGCTGATGCCTTTGCTAGACTGAAAAAGGGTATTTTTCATAAAATACCACAAATTCAACTGATATGAATAAGGTTAACTATGGATTAGACTATGATGATGATGAGTTGGACTGCTGGCCACAAGGTCAGGAGTTAGAGCCCACCAGGCCTCCATGGGAGAAAGATGAGGCTTTCTGTCCCATACAGGCTCACAGCCTCAGAAACCCACCAGGGTTTCTCTGCCCTCCAGTGTTGCTAAGAGTCAGAATTGGCTACATGGCAATGAGTTGTGTTTATTATTTTTATTTAAAGCTCACTTACCCAGTACTAGAAAGGACTATCTGACATTGCCAAATAACTGACCACTACACAGTGGTTCAAGTGTTCACTGGCTAACGGAATGGTGGGTCGTAGGACTCCACCAGCAGCTCTGTTGTAAAAGACTGGTCATTCTGGTTCCATAAAGATGGAAGCCTTTGGGGTAGGCAATTGAAAATACCAAGGCCTGGGTCAGGGCTACCTTAGTCCTCAAACTTACATCTTTGCTTTTTAATACTCTAAAGAGGTCTTGTGCACCATTACCTATAGACATCCTTAAAACACAACTTACTGAATTGTTTTTCATTTAAGGCAAATTTTAATAATAGCATATATCTAATTCAATTTAGATCATTGAAATCTCTTTTTAAAAGCATTTCAAAATAAGGTTCCTGCAAATATTGGTAAAGATGAGATAAATACCGCAAGAATATCTCAACAGACTAAAAAGAGGAGACATTTGTTGCATTTGCCAAAGAAATGGCCTTTTAATGTTAAGGCAATTCCATTAGATTCTTTCAAGGAAGCACTTCTCTGCTTGATCTTAGTTGGAGTTGACTTTCTAGTGTAGAGTGGGATCTATCTTCTCAAGCATGGAACTTTCTAAATAAAACAAGGAACAAGGAACCTTCTAAAAATGTTAATTATGGAAAAATTTCTACACACGAGTAAACAGTATAATAAACCTCTAGATATATAACATTTTGTCATTCTTATTTCATCTATACCCTTCCATCACTTCCTGCCTCCCACACAAAGATTACTTTTATATAGCTATTTTCTTGAGGTAATGTTTACATCAATTGACATGTACCACTCTCATCTATACCAGTGTTCTCAACCTTCCTAGTGCTGCAACCCTTTAATACAGTTCCTCATGTTGTGGTGACCCCCAACCATAAAATTATTTTCGTTGCTATTTCATAACTGTAATGTTGCTACTGTTAGGAATCGGGCGACACCTGTGAAAAGGTCATTCGACCCCCAAAAGGGTTGCAACCCACAGGTTGAGAACTGATCTATACCATTTTAAGAAATTGATATGGCTTTGTAACCTACATCTCTTTTAAGATATAGAACATTTCCATCACTGTAACTCATCTTAATCATATTTCTCAGCTTAATTTTAATAACAGCAACCAAATCTTTATTGCCTCTAGACATAAGATGGAAAATGAAACAATGAAAAGAGCACAGTATCCTAATCATGTATACTAACCTGAAGTTGTGAATATTTATAAGATTAATTCAGCTGAATGATTACTAATGAAGTGAAATTAACTGATGAAACATTATAAAGTATGGTAAACTTAACTTTCTTTAGTTAGCTTATTATTTTATAGTCAAGCTGGATTCCTTTTACATCACAAATGTTTGCTTTCTTCTCATTTCATTTCATTATAATGAACAATTCTTCGAGTTTACCGAAAATGAAACACAAATTTGACTAACTTCTAAAGTGAACTGAACGTCTTACAACTCTAATTGTTTGCAAATAAAATCATTGAGAAAAAATACGCTTTGTTATTAGGTGCTGTATTGTTGGTTCCTAATCATGTACAAACAAGGGGACATTTCAAGGGCCTGTATCATCCCCATAGTCATTATTATACTTGAGCCATTGGGAAAAGATGATAAGTAAACAACCAGTTTAAGAATTCTCTCAACTGATAGAAGATATGCTGTTGACACGCTAGAAAATAAAATATAAATAACGTGAGGCTAAACCACATTTGGAATCTGTGATGGCTGGGGTAAAATGACTTTTTTCACAGTTTGCCAATTTTATAGGTCTTTTTAAAAAAACATAGCTTTTTGTTTCACTGAATTTTCTCTATTGCTTTCCTGTTTTGAATGTCATTAATTTTCACATTTACCTTTACTATTTCCTTCCTTGTGCTTGCTTTGGGTTTTTTTGCTCGTATGTTTCTAGTTCTTGAGGTGGGAACTTGGATGAGTGACTGGATCCTTTTTTTCTTTTCTCAAGTGTGCATTTAATGCACTAATTTCTCTCTTAGCACTGTCTTAGCTGTACCCCAAAGAAGTTGCTATCTTGCATTGTCATTTTCAATTCAGCTCAAGGTACTTTTGATTTTTTTTCTCTTTGTGAAGTCCCTTTGATGCATGGATTATTCAGTAGTATGTTGTTTTATTTTCATTTTCTGGAAATTTTCCTAATGTTTTCTTGCTATTGATATTTAGTTTAGATCCATTGTAGTTGGAGAACACACTGTATTGTTTTAATTATCTTAATTGGTTGAAGTTTGTCTTTTAACTCAGAAGATACTCCATCTTGATATACTCTGCGAGCATTTGGAAAGAATGTATATCTTCTGTTGTAATATAAATATGAATTAGATCCTGTTGTTGTTTGATGGCATTCTTGAGTTCTATATCTTTCTGGTTTTATGTCTTGTGTGGTGTTAAGTATCTACTTAAAATTGTGGATTTACCTATTTTTCTCTTGTTTTATTAGTTTTTGCTTTAATAATTTTGCAGTTGTTGTTTGACGTACACATATTTCGTATTGCTAATCTTCCTGGTGAATTGATTCTTTTTCTATAAAGTCCTTCTCTGAGAAGTTTCTTTACTATGAAATATACTTTAATTAATATCTTAATATGGCCACTCTATCTTTCTTTTGGCTGTTTGCAGGATATAGCTTTTTTTTCATTATTTTACTTTCAACCTACCTATATTATTATATTTGAAGTAAGTTCTTGTAGCAGCATATAGTTGGTCGAGTTAATGTAAATTTTGAATCTAGTCTTCCAGTCTCTTTCTTTTAATTGATATATTTGACTCATTTATATTTAATAATAGTTCTAGATATGTTAGTCCTTAAGTGCTATTTTATTTTTTGCTTTTGTCTTGTCCTTTTTGCTTTTACTTATACATTTTTTATAACTTACCAAGTTACTAGGATTTTTATTTTAGAATTCTATTTTAATGTGTCTTTGGTACTTTTGAATGCATTGTTTTGTATATCTTTTTTAGTGACTGCTATAGGTATAGTATTTACTGATTTGTCACTCTAATTTAGGTATGGCATGATGACAAGATGACAGGTCAAGCTGAAATAAAAACAAGAACACCGTCCAAACAACAACAATGTCCAAAGACACCTCCTATCTCACCATCTCCAGGCTAATGGGACTGAATGGTACTTCTTTGTTAGTTACAATGAAAATTCACTTTGTTTTCACTACTTTCAAAGTAAAGTTAAGATCATAGAATTTCCCCTACTTTCTGAAAGCATTCAGTCCAGAAATCCGCACCTGTGTTTGTCCAAAGACAAGACGGAGCAGAGCAGCACTGTTCATAATAGCCAAATATTGCACCAATGCAAACATCTAATGACAATGGGATGAATTATAAACTGTGGCATACACATATATTGGGAATTCCGTATAGCACTGAGAGAGAAAGCACTACAGTTCAAAATAGGGTTATGGGTAAATTTTAAAAATGTTATATGTAGAAGAAGACAAACACAAATCAGTTCATGCTCTGCTGTTCTATTTATATAAATTCTAAATTAGGCACAACCAACCCATGATTTTAGTAGTGAGCATCTCTATTATTTTGGGTCTGTACTGACCAGGAAGAGGCGAGCTGTGGAGAATCTGGAGCGGTGATTCGCTCTCTCCATCACACCCCTGCTGCCAAGTCTGCCGACTTTGCACACATACATGGAGCTGAACATCAGGATTTGGTCACTTTTCTGTATGTATATTATAATTTAATAAACAGTTGTTTTTAAAATGCTACCCAATGAAGATCAAGGTGGGAAAGAAGAGCAAATCTGTTACTTTTCATCAGAGTACTTTCTGATGAAATATGTTTACATTTTGAAGAAATAGGAGTGAAAAACAACTTGTAGAACACTGAAGGAAGTGCATTTCACTTTATTAAGACAATTCATGGCAAACTAAAACGCAGAAGAAAAGGAGCCTGAAAGACAATGGTATGCATAAAGTTGTCTTAGTAACTATTTTACTATCAAATCAATGCAAACAAAGAAGAATCGTTTTGTTTTCATTGAACTACAATTCAATGGAAAAATCCATTACAAGGAAAAAAACCAAAGTCTATGCCAGAAGATACATTTTTCTCTTTGACATTCTCAAACTCTCTCTATAGGAAAGAATAAAATCCAGAACATATTTTCTCACAATCAGATGCCTAGTTGATTTCAAAGCCCTTCCGGAATGTGGCATTATTATCCATTTCTTTGCTAGTGCTTGGAGGTGGAAGATTCGGGATAATCGGCTTCAGAAATTTGAAGTCACTTGTTCCAGAGTCTCCTGACAGACATATCTCATACTGATAACTATGGGACAGGGTCGCAGTGTTGCTGCTGCCCGCCAAATGGCCTGGAAAGTAGCCCTCAGGCACCGGGTAGCGACACTCGGCTGCAGCACTCCTCCTCCCGCACAGTCTCACAGCCACAAACAGGAGCACAGAGCAGAGGAAGAGCGAAGACACCGAGGCCAACGCAATGACCAGGTAGACCGTGAGCCCGTCGGCCTGCGCCTGGTCGCGGGCGCCCTCGGGCCGCGCCACGTAGGGCTGCGAGAAGCCGTCCACCAGCAGCACGTGCAGCGTGACGCTGGCCGACAGCGCCGGCTCGCCATTGTCCTGGACCAGCACCAGGAGCCTGTGCTGCGCCGCGTCGCGCTCGCTCAGCGGCCTGGCGGTGCGCACCTCGCCATTGTGCGCCCACACGCGGAACAGCCCGGGCTCCGTGGCCTTGAGCAGCTGGTAGGACAGCCAGGCGTTCTGGCCCGCGTCGCCGTCCACTGCCACCACCTTGCTCACCAGGTAGCCCGCCTCGGCCGCCCTGGGCACCAGCTCTGGGCAGGGCGCCGAGCCGTTGGGCGGCGGCGGGTACAGCACCAGGGGCGCGTGGTCGTTGTCGTCCAGCACCTCCACGCGCACCAGCGCCTCGCTGCTCAGCGCCGGGGAGCCCGCGTCCGCCGCGCCCACGCGGACCTCGAAGGCGCGCAGGGCCTCGAAGTCCAGCGCCCGCAGCGCGAACAGGTGCCCGCGGTCGGCGTGGATGGCCACCAGCGAGGCGAGCGGCAGGTGCGGGTCTCGGGGCGGCAGCAGGGAGTAGGTGACTTGGGCGTTGGTGCCCGCGTCTCTGTCGGTGGCGCTGACTGTGCCCAGGTGCAGGCCGGGGCTGTTGTTCTCGCGGACGAACAGCGTGTAGGAGGTTTGGGTGAAGGTGGGCGCGTTGTCATTGACGTCGGAGACCAGCACCCTGATGGTGTGCTCGGTTTTCAGCCTGGGGGACCCCAAGTCGGTGACGGTGATGGTGACGTTGTACTCTGCTCTGGCCTCTCTGTCCAGTGGGCTATTGGTGACTAGCATGTAAAAGTTCGTGAAGGTGGGTTTCAGGAGAAAGGGGAGGTCGTCCTGGATGGAGCAAATCATCCTTCCATTGTCTCCAGAGTCTGGATCTGATACACTAAAAACCGCAACCACCGTTTCCGGGGCGTTCTCTGGAGTAGGGCTGGTGAGCGTAGACATGGTGAGCTCAGGGGCGTTGTCATTCACATCCACCACTTCTACAGCCACAATGCATTTTCCTGAAAGTCCGCCGCCATCAGTAGCTACGATTTCCACGTTATAATATGGAATTGTCTCGAAATCCAACATTCTTTTCAGTCGAATTTCTCCTGTAGCTTCCTCTATTACAAAAGGTTGAGTGGCTTCATCCCCTTGGAAGAGAGCATAGCTTACAGTTCCGTAAATTCCTCCATCTAAGTCTCGGGCGGAGACAGGGACAATTAAAGACCCAAGGGGGCTGCTCTCTAGCACCCGTACCTCATAGAGTGACTGCGAAAATTCGGGGGCGTTGTCATTGATGTCCAAGACTTCAATGCGGACTGTGATGGTCCCCGACCTGGGCGGAGTCCCTCCATCCAGCGCCAGGAGGGTTAAACTGTGTTCCTTTTCTTCCTCCCGATCCAATACTCGGTCCAGCACCAGCTCTGGGTATTTTCTGCCATCACCCCGGTCATGCGTGAGAACACGAAAAAGGGAGTTGGGGAGAATGGTGTAGTCCTGAACAGCGTTGCTCCCTATGTCAGAGTCCTGAGCTACCTTCAAAGGAAACGCAGTGCCTGGCTGGATGCTCTCGGGGATTTTAAGGAGCATTTCTCTTTCTAGGAACTCCGGGGAATGGTCATTGATATCTTGGAGCTGCAATTCAAGTAGAATAAACTGCACCGGGTTTTCCAGTAATAGCTGAAAATGCAGTATACAGGGCTCGGTGGCCCCGCACAGAGACTCCCGGTCTAGTGTTTCATATAGAAGCAAATTCCCGGACTTTAGATCGAGCTCCAAGAGCTGTTTGTTTCCTTTGTAATGGATTTTCGCGCCCCGAGTGGCCAGTTCCCCCAACCCCAGCCCCAGGTCTTTCTCCAGGTTGCCCACAAAGGAGCCACTCTCAGTTTCTTCTGGCATGGAATATTTAATTGCCTCAGCATCAGCCTCCCACCAAAGCAACACTATAACAAGAAAGGTAACTTGCCTTTTCTGCAGCGTTTTTGCTAGCGGAGTCTCCATTGTTCAGTCCTGGTCCAGAGCAGTTCCTTCAGCTCCGGATACAATTAATCCAAAGGATTTGATTAAATGACCTCGAATTAGTTATTTCTGATTCTGATTTGCACTGGTATGCCCTCGCTGACGATCTATGTCCCTAGACCTTATCTAAAATGCTTTCTTCTTCTACTGAGCGTTCAGAGTTCTGATTGCCAGCTTAATGGCGTCTCCAGCATCCAGGCTCTATTATGCACACTCTTAGCCTGCAGCGCCACCAGGCGTCCTTTTCATTTATTTTCCACTATTGCGCACAGTAGTTGCCATTTCATTTTCCAAACTTTAAATCTAGTATCAGTCAAAATTATTTTGAGTCACAGAAGTGTCCCCCATAATATTTCCACTTTGTAACTATCGGAAGATCGAAACAAATATTTTCTGAGTGAGAATAAACTAAAATGATATACTGTATTCTCCCAAAATGCACTTTATGAATGCATAAAGAAATTACATGGTGTGTGCTCTTGTTAGATTATCGCCAAGAAACAAAGATAATTAATGTAGAAAAATTAAATATTATTAAAGAGCCCTGGTGGTGCTGTGTTTTGTTAATGAACTGCTAAGTGTTGACATTCAAATTCGCCAGCTGCTCCCAGGGGGAAAGATGAGCCTGTCTGCTCCCATGTCTGTGGATGACTGATGGCAGTATGTTTGGGTTTTTCTTTTTTATACACTGAGGCACAGAATGGACTCAGAAGAGGCACGACTCAGTGGCTTTGCATCAAGTGAACACATTTGTATAAGCAGAATCTAGTTTTAATAATCAAACAAAGAATATAACCCAAGAACCCCCTTCCTGCTATCGCAGGTCACTGCCTCCCCTCCCTCAAAAGTAAGCACTATTCTGATTTTTATGATAATAGCTTTTTAACTTTCATACACATTGAGTTTTAGAGTTTTTTTGTGTGCCTATAGTCTTTCAAGCAACATTATGTCTGTAAAATTCATATCCTGTGTGTAGTTTCACTCTAATTGGCTATGTTACTCTATTGTACAAATATACTGCAACTTATCAGTCTCTAGTTGATGGACTTGGGAACTTTGGGGGAGATTATGAGTAGTGTTTCTATGAATATACTTGTACATTTCTCTTGGTAGCCATTTTTATGCTTATAGTAGATGTTTTCTTAGGAGAGGAATTCTGTGCATTAAGTTGCACACATATACTTAGCTTTAGCAGATACTGTGGAGCCGCTTCAAAAGTAGTTGTACTAATACCAGTTGCTCCATGTATTTGTTAACATTTGATATTATCTTTTTCACTTTAGACACTGGAGTGTGTGGTGGTTATACTGTGATGTTAAGTTTCACTACACAGATAATGAAATTGAGCACATTTACACCTAGGAATAGGCCATTCATATACACTCTTGTGTACACTTGTTCAGGTTTTTTGTCCATTTTGCTCTTTGGGAGTGAATATTGCCTTTTTTCTTATTCTACAGAATTTCCTTAAATGTTCTAGATAGAATCCTTTTTCAGATGTACATACTGTAAATATCATCGTCCACTCTATAGTACGCACTGTAGCTCTCTCTCTCTCTCTCATGGTGTCTGATGGAAGGCGTTTTGGAAGAGCTAGTGGTGCAATGCTCAACCTCTCAGTCACTAACTGAAAGGTTGTTAACTTACTCCCTGGGAGAAAGATATGGGTCCTTAAAGATCACAGCCTGGAATTCCTGTGGGGCTAGTTCTACTCTGCCCTACAGGGTCACTGTGAGTTGGCATTGAGTCCAAGGGTTGGACTTTATGGTTTATGGTATACTTTGATGAAGAAACATCATTTTAATACACTCTAACTTGTCAATATTTTAAATTTATGGACAATCTTGTGTTCTATTTAATATTTGTATTTAGATTACTCTTCACATTTAGAGCTATAGTCCACCTAATAATAAATTGTTCATAAAAATAAATTCGGATCAATTTTTCCTATATAAATATCCAATGACCTACCACCATCTAATAAAAGAGGATCTCACCATTATTTTAGCAGTGTATCTTTTTTTATACACCAAAATATATTTCTAGGTCTACTCAGTATCTGACGATGACAATTCTCCTATTGCCGCATATAGCAAGCAAGCAAACAGACAGACAGAAAACATCTACTGCATCTACCCCAGAGGGTTTCCAAGGCTGAGGCTATAATCTTTATGGAATCAGACCGCTATGTCTTTCTTGAATGCAGTGGGTTTGAATTGTAGACTTTTCCGTTAGTATTCAAGTACTTAACCACAGCACTTCTGTTGTAAGTATAGGGACCCTAATGTTACTCCGGCAAGTGTTTCCATTGTACACCTTCTCTCTCTCTCTGAAAGGTTGAAAGTAAACATATATAGGCTTTTCTTAAATCTAGTCTGACATTTGTTTTTTTAGTTGTATTACTTCACACAACTGAATATAGTATTTGATGTCTTTCTGTTTACATTCCCATCTAAGTGTTTTCCATTTCTTTCTCGTGTTTTGTTTCTTTTTGATTATTCTAATCGTTATTTTCCATTAATTATGTTTTAAAAATTACTTTATTGATTATTCTAGAAATTATAGCCTTCATCTTTGATTTGTAACTTTCCAAATCAAAAGATTAATTTTCCACTTCCACAATAATACTTAGAACGTTATAATTCTTTAAATCCAATTACCTTTCTTCCCAATTTTATTGTTGTTAGGAATTTACATTTTATAAACATTTAAAATCCTTTACAAAACTACTTTTATTGTCCTTTACCACAATTACATAGCTTTTCATTTCAGATATTATAATTCTCAGTCCTAGATTTAATATCCCTTTTTAAATTTCAAGAAGTCATTCTTCTTGAATATCACTGTCAGCTAATTCTAATATCTGGACCATCTGTGAATCATTTGTTTTTTTTCCCCCTTTAGGTTGTATCTGTGATGTGTGTGTGCATGTGTAGTAATTTTTTATTGAATACTGAATATTTATGCTAAAAAGTCCGTGATACAGATGATACTATCTCCTTAAGAAATATTCTACCCCCTTTCCCCATTAACTTAATAGTATAGTGTCTAATAAAGTGAATTTGTTCTAAACAGTCATTCTTCTTAGTCAAGGTTTATTGCTATCCTGGTCAGTCTTTAGCCCTCCAGAGCTTCCAGCTGAGATCTTGGTGTATTCTCCAAAGTCAATTCCTATGACAAGACTTAAACTCTCATCTCTGTATAGCAATGGTATGAAAACTTCACTTTACTTTTTATATCTTTCCCACCTAGTTAGTATTGTCTGGGCTGCTCCAGCGTCTCGAGGATGGAGGACAGCCAGGAGCTTGAGTCTTTGGGTCTATCAAATGTCATTGAAATTCTTCTGTCCTGCACCAGAGTATTTTGTCTTACTGCAGAAGTAATTTTACATCTTCAAGAATTTTCCTTTTTAGAACTATTAGTCTCTTTGGTTCTGATTATATCATATAGTTTTTGATGCTCCAAAGTAGACAAGCCAATTAATGTGGGAGCAGAAAACCACAAATATTTGCATTATTTAAAACTCAGACTATTTAAAATTATTTCATAGTTGTTGTCTACATTGCTTTGAGTGGAAACATCATGTATTAAACTCACCATATGTTGCACTTAAAAGTAACAACAAATTGCAAAATATGCAAATATAGTAGAAATATCTGAGAAAATATATAAGATTGAAATAAGTGTTGTCAAATACTTGAATGGATAGTCTCTATTTTGTTGCTTAACAATGGAAGCAGCATAGTATTCATAAGGCACACATTTGGATCATAAAATTATCAGATACTAATCATTGAATTTATAAATGTTAATTGACTACATCTGGTAGGGGTCCCTCACTGGTAAGAAATGATACATCCTTTATAAGATACATTTTATTTGTTTTGTTTGGTCAATCTCATGTGGATAATTATGTAAACTGGATTTTTCTGGCAAAAACAAAAAAGTGAACTTTGATTTTCATGATATTGAAATACATTTGGGAAAACTCCAATAATATTTCCTACTTGTCATCAAATGAAAACTTAATTTAATTTTATGGATAATAATAAATGTAAACATCATCTGTGTTTATATCCTCATCTCATCACTTAGATTGATAAAAGATAAAAGTTATGGTTCTAGAACAATTTGGTCAGTAATTCTTTCATTTAATTGTAATATCTTAAGGAAAAAGTCAGCCAGGGAAAAGTACAAATACTTGCTACAGTAGAATAATGGCTTATATTTTAGAAATAAGCAATTTAGATTACAAGGTCAGCTCTTGAATTGCTCACATTGTTCCAAAAGTTCAACAACTGGTCTTACAATTATACTCATTCATAAAACTTAGCTACTTGGAGATTACATAATCAGGTTCCTTGGCTTATTGGACACAACATAAAACTATATAATTCAGTTAATTGCTATTCTTATTCAACATATTTGAAAAGGTAATTTTACCCCAAATACTTGAAAACTACACTAAAGGAAGAAACAGAACTTGTGCTTCAAAAAGAAACATTATTTTATTGGTAAAGACTGTTCATGTCTGCATCTGTGGTAGTTACATAATCTGGTGTCAATTTGGGACACGAGAGGATTAAGAGTGAAGCGGGAGTGGGGGTGTGGGGGTGTCTGGTCTGTCAATTGGGTCATAGGCAATGAGGCCTCTGTGTGGGCATGGCCTTCTCTTGAGAATTCTGGGAATTCCTGTTTTTCCTTCCTGGAGGCAGAAGATACAATCTCTCACAGCTCACGCCCTTGGAGATGCTCTACTGATAAGACACATGGCACCGCACTGATAGAACCCATGCTCTGGGAATTGGAGAAACTACATGGAAACCCCTGCCAGCGCTGAGATGCTTATAATGCCACTGTATCCAAAGACTTTCTACCCATTGGCCTGTGATTATCCTGCAATTGGCATCACTGCAAGTGTTTCATGGGTCTCAAGAGAACTTCATGGATTGGTATCAGACATGTGGGCTAATATTGGACTTATGGGCTTGGACTGGACTGGGTTAGAATACTTTCTTAATGTGCAACTACCCTTTATATAAAACTCTCTCATACACATATGAGTTTCTATGGATTTGTTTCTCTAGTCTACCCAAACTAACACAGCAACTAACTTAAAATGAATATCTGATATAATATGATCATCATCAATCTTGGTTATTCTAGAATAGTCAAAATTCAGAAGAAACTCCCTGAATCTTTTGAATGTGAAAAGAAACTGCAGTAAAATCAAGAGAAATGCATGTCTTTTAAACTCCGCTTGAATGTCTGTGTATCCACTTAAGATGCCACCAAGAATTTCAGGTGTGGAATCTTTTAAGGTTAATATTAGTCTGTGAGTTAAGAGTTTTATTTAGTGAAAGGAATATCAACTTTTTTATTTCTAATTTTTACAATGGTAATATTAACGAGTACTAGCACGAAGAATGTGCTAGGTAGGCTCACTGCCATGGAGTCGATGCTGACCCATAGCAACCCTATAGGACTGAGTAGAACTACCTCTGTGGTTTTTGGAGAAACTGTAACTCTTTACAGGAGTAGAAAGCCCAGCCTTCCTCCCATGGAGCATCTGGTGGATTTGAACTGCAGACCTTGCAGACACAGCCCATTAAGTAACCACTTTGCTACCAGGGCTCCTAGGTAGGTAGGTATTAAGCAAATAAATAATACCACCCATACATAGTGCTCATAATGGGAGAAGAATCCACAATTTTAGTGGCTCCAAATTAATTAAAACACACTTTTACATAACATTTGGGAGAAACAAATACATATGCCACATTACATGCTCATGGCAATTTTGGTGGCTTAGGCATGTGTGGTTAGCAAGAAAGGCTGAAGTTTAAATTTAAAGGAATTCAAACACACTGCCCTCCCAAAGACAAGGATCACATGCATATAGAAATTGAAGATCATAGCAAACCTAGAAAATGTTTTAATAATAATGTAAAGATTAATCATCAAACGAAGGTCAAATGTGGAGGAAATACACACATTGAATATCGTGTGGATTTAAAAAACTTAAATGCAAGTAATGTCAACAAAAAGGGCAACAGATTTAGGATTATAAAGGTCAGGAATAACCTCAGAATAGTGGTATGCATATTTAGGTAGCAATATGATTTATTAAAAGAAAGGCCTTTTCATTGGATTTAAGTTTGCCAAGATTACGGAGAGAGTCATGAGACCAAACACAATGCTTAACTGAATACAGAGCTATTCCTACAGTTTTCTGTTACTTCTCTCCCAGGTTCGGGAACCAAGAGATTGGAGGTTATGGGCTTCAGAAATTTGAACTCACCAGTTCTAGAGTCTCCCGTCATATATACTTCGTACTGGTAGCTCTGGGACAAAGTCCCAGTGCTGCTCACATCCACCAAGTGGCTTGGAAAGCGGCCCTCAGGCACCGAACAGCCACCCTCCCAGGCGGCCCTCCTCCTCCTGCACAGTCGCACAGCCACAAACAGGAGCACGGAGCAGAGGAAGAGCGAAGACACCGAGGCCAACGCAATGACCAGGTAGACCGTGAGCCCGTCGGCCTGCGCCTGGTCGTGGGCGCCCTCGGGCCGCGCCAGGTAGGGCTGCGAGAAGCCGTCCACCAGCAGCACGTGCAGGGTGACGCTGGCCGACAGCGCCGGCTCGCCATTGTCCTGGACCAGCACCAGCAGCCTGTGCTGCGCCGCGTCGCGCTCGCTCAGCGGCCTGGCGGTGCGCACCTCGCCATTGTGCGTCCACACGCGGAACAGCCCGGGCTCCGTGGCCTTTAGCAGCTGGTAGGACAGCCAGGCGTTCTGGCCCGCGTCGCCGTCCACTGCCACCACCTTGCTCACCAGGTAGCCCGCCTCGGCCGCCCTGGGCACCAGCTCGGGGCAGGGCGCCGAGCCGTTGGGCGGCGGCGGGTACAGCACCAGGGGCGCGTGGTCGTTGTCGTCCAGCACCTCCACGCGCACCAGCGCCTCGCTGCTCAGCGCCTGGGAGCCCGCGTCCGCCGCGCCCACGCGGACCTCGAAGGCGCGCAGGGCCTCGAAGTCCAGCGCCCGCTGCGCGAACAGGTGCCCGCGGTCGGCGTGGATGGCCACCAGCGAGGCGAGCGGCAGGTGCGGGTCTCGGGGCGGCAGCAGGGAGTAGGTGACTTGGGCGTTGGTGCCCGCGTCTCTGTCGGTGGCGCTGACTGTGCCCAGGTGCAGGCCGGGGCTGTTGTTCTCGCGGACGAACAGCGTGTAGGAGGTTTGGGTGAAGGTGGGCGCGTTGTCATTGACGTCGGAGACCAGCACCCTGATGGTGTGCTCGGTTTTCAGCCTGGGGGTCCCCAAGTCAGTGACGGTGATGGTGATGTTGTATTCAGCTCTCTCCTCTCGGTCCAGTGGCCTCTCTGTTAACAGGGTGTAGAAATTCTTGAAAGTTGGTTTTAGAATGAATGGCAAATTATCTGGAATTGAGCAAATCATCTTTCCATTGTCTCCAGAATCTCTGTCTCGAATTCGGAAGATTGACACTACGGTTTCGGGAGCATTCTCTAGGATGGAGCTGGTCAGTGAAGATAAAGTTAGCTCCGGGGCGTTGTCATTCACATCCATCACCTCTATGATTACAGTGCCTTTCCCGGAAAGACCGCCTCCATCTGTGGCCTCGATGTCCACATGGTAAGAGTTTATTTTCTCAAAATCCAACTTCTTTATCAGTTGGATTTCTCCCGTGACATTATTTATTGAGAACGTTTGTTTAATTTCATCTGATGCTTGGAACAAGTTGTAGGAAACTGTTGCGAAATTTCCAGAATCTGCATCCCTGGCGGAGACTCTAACTACTGGGAAGCCCACTGGGCTATTTTCCAAGACCTGCGTCTCATAGGGGGGGTGTACAAACTCAGGAGCATTGTCGTTGACATCCAGGATGGTGATTTGGACCATGACAGTCCCAGACCTGGGCGGAGACCCACCATCCAGAGCCGTGAGAGTTAAACTGAACTCCTGCTGCTGCTCTCGGTCCAGCGCTTTCTCTTGCACCAGATCTGGATATTTCTTGCCCTCGGTATGATTTCTAGTGAGAACATGAAAATGAGAGTTGGGACTGATGGTGTATTTTTGAAGACCATTGCTGCCAACATCCAAATCCTGAGCTAATTTCAATGGAAATAGAGTCCCTGGCCGACTGTTTTCCGGTATGTTCAAGAACATTTCCCTGTCAGGGAATACTGGAGAGTTGTCATTTATGTCCTGGATCAATAACTCTCCCTGAAAAAATTGCACTGGTGTTTCCAGGAACACTTGGAAATACAGTACACATGGTTCAATAAGGCCACATAGTTCTTCCCTGTCTAGTTTTTCCCTCAGAAGTAAGTCTCCAGTCTGACGGTCCAGCTGCAAATGCTGCTTGTCATCGTCACAGACCACCCGGGCTGACCGGGCAGCCAGTTCCCCAGTTCCCAGGCTCAGGTCTTTTCCCAGGTGGGCTATAACGGAGCCTTTCTCTGTTTCCTCCAGCACAGAATAACGATAGGGCTCAGAGCGAGCCTGAGATAAGAACAGCATCAAAACAAAGATGATCACTTGCCTGTTTGGTTGAATTCTCTCTAGTGCTTCCATTTTGTTGTCTGGATACATACAGCCGATCCCTTTCAGCAACACAAAAAACCCGCAGACATTCGATTCTGAGTTTTTGCTTGGCGGAATCGCTTCGAAATCGTTTTTAATGGTAAATTTGTTCTGTATACTGCTGCTCTAAACTCCGGACTGCTTACGATTCTTCTTCCGCGAGGGCTTAAACCTGGTCTCACAGCACAAAGGAATCTGCAAGCCTTTTAGGACTGTGTAGTCACAACCTTAGCCAGCAGCGCCACCCTGCGTCTCCATCGAGAAGTTAACATTTCCAAGTCATAGCACCAAGTACCCAAATCAAAAACCATGCTAGGTGTAATATAGAGATTTTATCAACTTTATTTCATTAAATTGCTCAATACCTATGGCTATACCACTAAGTTTTATGAACTAGAATTATTGTGAGTACCGAGCCAAAACATATCGTAGTCTCCCCACACCTCAATGGAATTTCAATTCATTGCGTTTTCCTTTTGTGTAATCTAACCAGGGGAGATAAGTGCTTATAAAATATCAATTCAGTTAATAATAGTTATATACCCCAAGTAAGTATGTGAGAACTTTCAGATGATGCAAGTTTGTTGAGGTCCTCTGTACCACATGACAAAGGGGGAGTATATTTTAATTTTAATTATATTATTATTTTAAGGCCATAGTTTTATTATTTTCCTATTGATCTGCAAATACAGTTTTTTAAAAATAGCTCTGCATAAATCATCTCACAATGTGAACCCACATTAGATTTCAAAGTAAGGCAAATGGAGTTAGAAACACAGATCCTTAGACGTGGGGAGGAAATGAAAGGGAGGGTTCACAGATAAGAAAAGTAAAACTCAGAGATCACGGTTATTCTACTTGGCAATTATCAGGATAATATCAAGATACAGTCAAGCTTTTAAGAATTATACAAATTTTAAGATAATTTAAGTGTAAGTTTATTTAGCTATATTTGTGTAAAATGGGTTTGCCTGTTTTCACATCTAACTTGTATCCCAGATATCCTATTGCTCAACTAACTGAAATTGAGGGAGGGCTGGGGGAGCAGTACCGATTTAAAGCATTTTAATGTTTGAGCAAAGTGTGCTCAGGCCTTGTCTACTCATATAGAGTGAGGAGAAGAATGTCTTTAGTAAAATGGAATACAGCACAGTGAGGCACGGAGTTTAAAGAACCTGCCCAAAGTCATGTGAAATAGCAGAGCCAGAATTTGGACAGGTGGCTCCAGAATCCACTCTCTAAGCTGTTTTTAAGAAGAATTGGGTCGGTAAAGAACATTTTCCATATTTTAGATCCACACTTCAGTTTTGCCTTGATTGAATATATATCTTTAAACCAACTAAAACCGAAACCACTGCCACTGAGTTAATTTCATCTCATAGTGACCTGCAACAGACAGAATAGAACTTCCCATTAGGGTTTCTGAAAGTATAAATAATTACAGGACCATATAGTCTCATCTTTCTCCCTTAGTACTTGAAGGTTTGAACTGCCAATCTATATACCTCTTACATGAGATGTATTTTTATTCAGGTTTTCAATGAATATTAGAACCTTTAAAATACTTTGCCTTACTTACATATAGCTACCATCAAAGAGAGATGCTTATAAACCCTAAAATTTGGAAAGAAATCAAGCATTCATTGTTTTTGTTAAGATTATTAACTATGTATAACATTTTATTTTTATTTTTGTATAACATTTAAAGAGTAACATATAATTAATTTTGTGTAACCCCAGATATTGGCAAGATTACATATGTTTAGATATTTTTAATGTGTTATATTCTGGTAAAAGGGTTTAAAATCAATTTAAAATTAAAAAGGGCGGGGAGAGCCTAGGATGGCCTAGCACACTATGTCACAGATTCTGTACCCAAATGGTTTCAAGTGTATCTACTATATTATACCTTCTTACATGAAAGAAGAGTTAAGTGATGTCAACTATACATGATCACCTGTAAAACCATTCCACTATAGTTAAGAGGAGTACCATCCAGCTTGAAGGATTCATATGGGGTATGTACCTAAATAGTTTTCAAATAGAAAACATGATATTTAAAATATCTTTTTCCACTTAGAATATCTAAAAGGAAATGAACAGACACAATGGGTCTCTGGGCATTAAGGATCAGCTTTCATCCCACCCTGGTAAAATATAGGCAAGGACTTAAAATATCATTGATGGAAGGAAAAACATCATGTTAATTTAAATGCAAATAGTACTAAAGTTAAAAAATGCTGAATTCCCACAAGGAGTTTTGAATACTCTCCAAGAAATTAAATGAGAGAGAATTTTAAAATTTCACAATGATTTGGAAGCTATTTTATTCTTGAAATGGGAAAGAACAGGGATATTTAAATGATAATTATTGAAAAAGTGGAATAGGTATTAGATTTTAATTAAAACTTATTACATCAAAAATTCAAGTTAACAATTATTGGGTAAAATGAAAGATTTGTGGACTTTATTTGAAATTCTTCATGATCATGGTATCACCTGCCAGGTAAGTATTTATTTAAATTAAAAAAATAATTTTATTGGGGCTCGTACAACTCTTATCACAATCCATCCATTGTGTCTAGCACATTTGTACATTTGTTGCCATCATCATTCTCAAAACATTTGCTTTCTACTTGAGCCCTTGGTATATTTGAAATTCTTATAAAGGAAAATATCTTTTGGAAATTTTTACTATTCTGGGTAAATAAATAATAGATAGACAAGCTGGCGAGTTGAATGTAATAGTTACAGAGCAAACAAAACTGCTCACTTGGTGAAATTGAGCTACGTTTTAATCTCACCCAGATTTCAATACTTAAAAAGGAAATTGAATCCATCAAAACGTAAATGTAGAAAGGAAGTATTTGAATAATTGTTCATATAAATATGGCAAATTTTGACTTTAGAAATTTGTGATACAATATAAAACAATTTATAAAAATTCTTTATAGTACCTATTACAATGTGTTTCAATTACTGTTTCTGAAAAAACAGTTTCTATGTTTAATATATCAAATTATTCAAATGGTGAATGTTTAATAGAAAATATTCTTTCAAATTATGTAAACCCTCCAACTTTGTTCTATTTTCAAGATATTGGCGTGGCTAGTCCAGTTCCTCTCCATTTCTATGTCAATTTTAGGATCAGCTTGTCAATTTCTAAACACACCAAAAAAACCCTAAAACACCGGGTTTGCGATAGTGATTGCATTTAATCCATAGTCTGCTTTGGGGAGTATTGCCATTTTAACAGCATTAGGTCTTCCAATCCTGTACATTTTTCATTTACTTAGGTCTTTTTAAATTTCTTTCAACAATAATTTGTAGTTTCCAGAAGAATCTTACTGTCTTTACATTTGCATCTTAATAAATGACAATTAAATCCAAATCACAGGCAAGTATATAAGCATCTTCTTTTCTCTTTTTAATGATAAGGTACAACAAAGTCCATTCAGGGGCTTTTTCTGGACCAGTGACCTGTGCCTGTTGCTTGCCCCTAGAGAGGTTTAGTCAATCACAAAGGACCCCAAGTGGTGATGGTCCTTTTCTTCAGTTGCTGAAGATCCCTGGGGGGTTGACATCCAGTATTTTCACTTCTGGCCCATTAACTCCCCCACTCGCTTCCAGAGGACACTGACCAGCTCTGATACCACAAAGACATGCATGTCATCGATGTCCTGAATGATGAACTTCTTCCGCAGGGCATTTGACTCGTCCGAGTAGAGCAGGAACTGCGTCATGGCTGGGTCACATTCTATGAGCACTCCTGTCAAGAAGTTGACCATCTTTCACAGTCAGCAGGTACAGATGACCTTGAGAATGCTCCACCCACAGTCCCAGCTCAGCCTCCAGTGGCTGCAGAGCACCGAATCTTACTTTTTCGAATGAATTATTTTCTTAATTTCACTTTTGATGGTTCAATTCTGATTTTTGTATGTCAACACTTTTATGTGTCCAACACTAGATTTTGTATGCTTACACTGTATTCTGCCACCTTGATGAACTTTTTATGTCAGTAGTTGTGTGTGAATTCGTTAGAATTTTCTTTATAAAGGACTATGTCATCTACAAGTAGAGCTAGTTTTACTTATCCCATTCCAATATGAATGCTCTTATTTCTTGTTGCCTTAAGTGGTCCCTCCAGCAAAATTTTGAATAGATGTGAGTTCTCAGTAAAACATTACCATGAGAAGTAGACTTGAAACTGAAAGAATGGATTTGAAATGGATACTTTGAGAAGCACGGAGTAAGAAAATATGGAAATAACTTAAAAGAAATATATTAAACACTCTCCTAGTGGAAGGAGCCCTGGTGTCGTGGTTTAGGAATTGGGCTGTTAACTGCAAGGCCAACGCTTAGAAACCACCAGTGGCTCCTTAGGAGAAAGGTCAGGCTTTCTACTCCTATGAAGAGTTACAGTATCCAAAACCAACGGGGCGTTCCATCCTGTCCTAACGGGTTGCTGTGAGTCACACTTGGCTCAATCTCAGTGAGTTAAAAAATTTTTTTTAATGATTTTCTGTAGTTAGGCACAAAATACTTAAAGCAAGCTTTTCTTACATCACAGAAAATTTGATCTTTTGGTTGCTTCTAGATTTTGTTATTTAAAACAAGCTTTTCTCACTGAAAATTTGACCTTTTGGTTGCTTCTGGACTTTATTCGTTAGTGCAGTTAATTTAGATTTCCTTCATGGTATTGCTCTCTCCTCTTCAGAAGTTTCTGTTTTTGTACAACTTCTTTCAATTACATTATAAGGGGTAGAATGTTGATGTGAACAGACAAATATTTATTCAGAGAGCATATTTATGCTACATCATGTCAGGTTGAAATCTGATGGAGGGAATCAAGGGAGGAAACAAAGAAATACCACTACTTACATGCTAAGCAGTATATAATAAAGTGGGCTTAGATTGCAGAGTGCTTTTAACATGAAGCAATTAAACTCCCCCAAACTAAACTCCATTGCCATTCAGTCGACTCTAATGAATAGTCATCCTATATACTATACTATATATGGTTTCCAAAGTTGTAGATATTTATGGGTACAAATAGCCTCATCTTTCTCCTCCCCAGTGTCTGTGGAGTTTGAACTGTCTGTGGGCTTGAACTGCCCATGGGTTTGA